AAATACTAAGCCAGCAGGGTTTAATCCTAGTGTACGGTACACACGGGATTTGTGCGATATTATGATGAGCAGTAAATGAGTCATTTTGGTGTTGGCGACAATTTTTAAAATCGCACAAAGGCCGTAACCTATACTAGGATTTTACCTAAGATTATTAGAACAGATTGTTTGTGATTAATACACAAAAAAAGGAAATACTAACATATTCATAAACACTTACATAAAACTTAATCAGGCAAAGAGCGCACTAGTTTGGCATGGATTTTGAAAGTGACTAAGCATAGGTTGCCTTGCTGAAGGAGCAACCCCCAAAAATGAATTAAAATTAGGCCAAAAAAGTATATTTACATAGATTTTGAGTAAAACTCGACTTCGAGAGCGATCAGCCTCAAATTCTTCAGGCGCGAAAAATTTTCTAGGCAAATTCTCACCCCCATCATGAAAATACGAAAGACAGCAAAAAAAATCAAGAAGACAATGCAGATTTCTTACCTTTCAAGTTGGTATTTGTTCAGCCGTTGCAATAGAAAATTACAATTTTGTAATCAAAATGGCGACGTCATTCAAAATTCTGTATCCACGTGCATATTTTGATAAAAGTTCAGCAACAGCATATTTTTTAACGCTACATGAAAAATTTCACTAAATGATCATTAAGACTTTTAAATTAAAGCTAATGCAATTTCTTTACTTACCCATTTATCAATCCTTCACGCTTCACTTAGCAGAATTTAACGCTTCCAAGTGACGCTAACATCCAAACAGAAAGACATTCTAATCAGATCGGATTGTAATTGGCTGAAAAAGATAACGACTGATGTCAGCATATCAATTAGCGTCGGTCTTTGTTTCACTTCATTTCTAATTATTAAAAAGTCGGACATTAAAAGGGTATTTGATGTGAGATAACAACTCGGTTAATAAAATGATATTTGAATAGGTATTAAATATTCATCAATATAAATTCCGTTTTTCAAAGAGAATAAAATATTTAGTATATCCTATTATGAATGATAAAGACAAAATTAGGTTTTTAAGCGAATTAACCTTAAAAGGTCCAGAATGCTAAAAAGGTTACGATAACCTGATTTAATTTATTGCGTTAATTTAATTTCATTATCCTTTTAACTATACCTAACTTTAGAATCTTTGCTTCATATAGAGGTCGCTCTTGCAGCCACTTAAGCGTCCCATAGTGATTGCTATTTCCACTAATCCCGAAAAAAAAAAAAAAAAACAAGCTGTGATACCCTCGACTCCCGATTTTTAACGGGATAATAGCGGCGTTCTCGGTTAACTCAAAATTACCGTTAATGCGCGGACAGTTTAAAAAACACACACAGGAAAGAGGAATACCCCATAATGTAATTAATACAAAAGTTTTGTTAACAAGTTGTAAGGAATTTTCCTTTCCGCATATCTTGGTGGCATAATTGGTACTACTCAGTAGTTCGAATACCGGAAAGGGCTTCCTTGATTTTTCTAATCTCCTGCTTCAAATCAGCGCCTAATCGCTCATTAAATTTGTCTGTATTTTTAAACAGTTTAATCTGGAGAATAACTTCATTTGGTTACTCAAATTAAATCAACATTCAGCATAAAAAGAACACACGTAAATAATGGAACAATAAATGTAACTAAAAATGAAGAAACTTAGTTATGAATGGAGTGAAAGAACACTATTGACAAGAGAACTAGAACAATGTCACTCACTTGCGTAAAAAAGACAGACCTTTTTTCCTCTCTGCCCGGAAGACATCTTTTATCCTAGCTGTTATTCCACACATTTTCCTTATCCTTTTTATATTTTTCGTAGCTAGTTTTGCTTTAAGTTAATGGTGTAGGATTGTAATTTTTGCAACAAACAAATTAAACTTTTTTTATACAGGGCCTTTTTAATCAGGACTTGACTGTATGTTATTCTACTTAAAAAGCAACACTAAGTTTTAAAAAATTGAAATTTGATAGAATAAGATTTTAAAATGTAAGTTATCGTAATTTCATTATTGCAGTGTGTAACTTTCTTAATTTGTTGATTGTTAACGGATTGTATTTTACCAAATCAGACAGTTGCGCATACTTAAGTTAAAAAAAGTTCTTTATAATTATTTTGGGGGCTTTTTTTTTTTTTAGAGTTAACAGGCTGTTTTCTTATCGAAACAAGGACAGATCACTTATTTTATCAGTGATTTTTCCCCCTTTTTTTCTTTTTAAAATGTTTGGACTCTTTTGCGATGAGTTGCAGCTAGATTTTTATTCCAGGCAGAATCAAGTAATTGGGAAAACTGATATCCATCGAGTGGGGTCCACGCAAGTGGCTGAGCGGATAGGACCACGTGTACAGTGGTAGTTCGATAGAAATCTCATTTTGTATTTCTCATTTTTTAAGGCACTTAAACTGTTAGTTAAACAATTTAATGAATGTGATTTTTTATTATTATTTAGTTGAATATGCAGTATCTTTAAACCATATTTAAATTAATTTTTAAATCACTCTAAGAATGTAACATTTTTATGAGTTTAGTATATAATCTTAGTTAGTGTTCCAACCCTTCTTAAATGAGCAGTTTGCGTGCTTTGCAGTGTGTATATGCATTTTCGCCTAGTGACGTTTTGCTCCGAAATTCCGTTCTACTTCGCCGTATAGCAGTTTCAGCTCCCTTTAATGGGTCTCTCCCTCTTTGACACTTTTTCGCCGAAATCGCGTCTAACCATCTGACGACAAGAAATGCCTTTTATTCAATTGTTTTTTCACGTAACTGAACAGGGGGGAAAAATTGCCATCTGTCTAAAGGGAGGAGGCCTTCGTGGAGAACTTTCTATTGGAAGCTGGTCATATACTCAGGTTACACATAGGAACACCACAAAAACACCCAAGCAGCCAGGCCGTTCGCCGGAATTCGAATCTTGGGCGTAACTACCAGTGCTCAGGGGCTTTACCGCTAGTCGGCCAGAAATGTCTAGGATTGTTGCGAAGAAGCAACTGATATGTTATGCAGTTGGATTATTTGTATGGGAACGATTTTCAGGGACAGTCTTTTGCAGTTCCCGATCTGTTTGCCTTGTTCTGCACGCATGCCATCTTCAGCAGAGTTCATTGTCAGCATTGAACAACTTTAAACAGTGGCACAGCTTACAGCTGTCTCTCCATACGTCATTGGTAAATTTTTGGACACTTCATCCCCTTCTTCTCTGATAAATCTTGTTTGCGCCTGCGAAATATCTTCTTTCAGGTCATCACAACATACAACAACTGAGTATTAATCGTTATAAATGAATCATTCGTTTGTCATTTGTCTGATGGGCCCTTAAGTGGCATTTTCCTGTGATAGCCATGGGCTCGAATCCCAGCAAATGGAATGGTTACTTTTATGTTGTTATGGTTTTCAGACTGTGTAACGTCAATACGAGACTGTTTCTCATAGAAAATTCTCCATGGTGGCGTTCCTGTCCTTAGGCAGATAACTTACTCGTGGTTTGCCGTAATCAGGTCAGTCCGTTACAATCCAATTTGTGATATTATGCCGTCTGGAAAATTTCTCACAATACTGCAAGGTGTATGAGCTTTAGAACTTACTGACTTTTTTTTTTTTTTTTTTTTTTTTTTTGTATTATGATGCAAATATGATTGAGTCAATAAAAGTTTGAACAAAAGCTTATAATTTCTGTTAATATTCACCAACTGAATGGCAATAGGTTTAATTTTAGAGATATAAATATTGAAATTATGTAGAAAAATTGGAAATATCTTAATAACCATTTAAGAGTGTATATTCTTTAAAATGTGTTTTCTTAATATGCATTTTTTTTCGAAAATCTATTTATTTATATAAATATAGGACTTTATAGTCCTAAAACTTACACAAATATGTACCAAGTTGTTTGATGTTTTTCATTTCTATGGTTATTATTATTGTTTGCTTAATAAATTGTGGGAAGAATTTTAGTATAGAATGAAAAGAAAAACTATTGGAAAATCAATGTAATTGAAACCTTACTTCCAGATTATTACGCATACACACCCGTCGAATTTAAGATTACCGTGTTAAAAGTTCTGCGACTGTCTCATTTTCGTTTACTGAACTGTATGTTTAAGTTTGAGTTAAAAGTTTTTTTTTTTTTTTTCTAAATCTGATGTTATTTCTTTCGTGGATGAAAAGCCTATAGTAAATACCGCAACCGCATATGTTTTTATATTTTATTTCTGGTTAAAAAAATGTTTATACTTACTAGGTTTCTGGGAGCTGATCATTTCAGTACAACATATGTTTTATTTTGATTACGCATGTTTTCATTTTGGAAGCTGTTTTAAGGTCAGTTTTTCTTTTTTATTTCTTTCATTTCATAAACTTCATATTTTGTTTTATTACTGATTCCGGAGTGATATGTACTTAGGCTTCTCTTTCAGTTAAAGCGTCCAGAAAGCATTTCTTTCACGTTCCTTTCTTTTGACGCCATTTTAATTCTGTAGTTTTGGAATATACACTATGCATACGTTTTTTGTCAGATATCTAATTCCGTGATCATTTTCTGATTTAAAAAAATAATATTTGAATTAGTGCTTGAATTATAGCGAGAATTTTATTTTTACAACTGGAGTTCATTAAATATTGTACAGATTTATCCTTTTTGTGATTTACGTTAAAAATGACAAAACTCTGATGTTATTGTTGTATGAGGTTTGCTTTTCTCGAAAGGAGATTTCATTACTATACAATTTATAGCATAGATGGTGGTTTGATGCTTGGTCGGTATACAGGCCTGCAGCAGGTGATAGTGATCCCTACTCTTACCAGTTATTGAGTCCCATTAACTGCCAAGTGAGTCCCATTAGAACCTGACTTGTGATATAACCGTAAAGTTATTCTCCAAAAGAGATAAGTACCTGACGGGGGAGAGAACAGACTGAAGCCCTTTGCTTTTGAAGATCGGGTGGAAATTGGTTGGTGTCGATGCTGGTGTTCTCCCGGAATTCATACATTTGCAAAGACACAATATCAAACCGAGTAGTAAAAGCATTATGGAATTCTAATTTCTCTCATTAGTCATCCTGATTGTTCAGTGGAAATGAGCAGCGTAGGGCCTAAAAAATCTATTTTCCTCTAGAATGTCGTACTCCAAGAATTCTGCAAAATTTGCTGCGTTTTTTTCTTAAAGTTCGCTCATAAATCTTCCATTAATCCGTGTGGGGAAATCTTTGATTCGATTTTTAAATCCGAGTGCAGGCTTCGGTTTTTTTATAAAATACGGACACCTGTTATAATTCTAAGAGCTTTATTTTGCAACACCTGATGTTTTTTGTAGTCTTTCTCGCTGGCAGTAGTCCAGGCGGGACACGTATATGTAATAATAGGCGTAATAGATGTGATATAGATTCTTCTCTTGTTAGACAGAACAAGAAACTGATAGAACTTATAGAAAGCTGATCATTTTTAAGCAGTGGAAAAAGTTCGAACATTATTCCGTACGCTTTTCCACACACTTTGGCTATGTGAGTGGACCAGATGAATAATTGGCGCTGTACAGTCTGGGAATCAGGGTACCGAAGAGGGTACATCTTTCGTGACAGCTGTCATTTTGCTTTATTTTCTATCCAGCAGAATTTTTGAATTGTCAGGTTGAATACTAATTTTCCATTTACAACACCATTTCTCAATGGCGGGGATTTTCTGTATTTTGACGAGGGCGTGATTTGGCGATTTGTATTAATAGTACCAACCGTATTATCGGCGTAACAAGCCAGGAGCGTGTTGTGGTCGTCTTTGAAACGGGGAAGTCGTTGACATACAAAATGTAAA